TTCTTCATCTAACTTTAGATCTCTATCTACAATATCACTTATTATTGCAAAAATCTTCAAAACAGAAGTGCTACAATTTACCGATCGAAAGTTCTATTGCGAAACACATACATCCTTCCAAAAATATATTGCTCCCAAAGTATCAAAGTACCTACTAGATATCAAACTAATCAATGCAGCTCTCATTTCTTATTAATCAAACGAAATGCACGCACAAACTACGCTTGCTTAGGGCGGACACACATTTGCGACTAATCTACAGACTAAAGTTGTAATGCGTAATTTGTCATACAACGACACGCCAATTCGCTGAACGAATGCACTTGCGTCGTCGCAACGAAACGCATAGTGTGCGGACTCTCTATTCCACGGCGCCATCTATACACGGCGAAAAATTTCAAACTTGCCATATATCACTAGTTTAGGAACTGACATTTGGACGTAAAAGTTCGCGACATAACTGCAGTCAACAAGATTAATCGACAAACACGGCGTAACTGATATTTGCAATTGACAGTAACATACAATCTAATGGAAACTGTACAGTGCAGTCTTCATATCTTGTGATTGCCGAAAGTAGATCTTATGGGTAGATATGAATTGGACGCATTTTGGACAATTGAATTCAATTCTTAAGATTAATGTTTTATTTACTATTTTTCTTATCATATAATCGGATCTTTTCACAAAATGCTCACTGTGTTGTTATCTTTGTAGCTACTAAGCAGTAACCAGAATTTTGCGTTGATATGCAGTTTCATTCTTATCTTTTATCACCCTCAACGAAACGGTTAAGTGTAAACTGACGTTGCAATATTTTCTACAGTTGCATGTTACTACTGAAAACTATGAAAAAGCGAATGATGGATTGGGTGAGCTAAATTATACAAAATATCTTGGACCTATGTTGCTATGAAAACTGTTAAATATCCTTATTATTCATCCATATCATTTATGTCCACATTCTTATACTAATTAAAAATACGTTACGACGTACACTGAGTGGAAGAGTTAACTAGGCCCTTTCTATAAGTAATTAGGACGTAACGAAGATCATGAAACTAAAATCACGATTAAGATTCAATTTGAGATCGATTACGTCCTAAAGTACACACGACAGCACATCAGGCTACCCTTTTTTGTTGCAAACTCGCCCCTATTAAAACTCCACAAGAACCCGCAGTGGATACGTTGACGTGCCGTCGTCTGTACAAAATTTCCCACGAAAACGAAAGTCTACCAAAAACAAGACCGTCACATCAGTGGTTCCAGTCCAAAATATAAAAAGAAAACTATTTATATTCCATCAGTCTAGATCTCACACATGAATAAACTTATCTTTAATAAACTAGGAATAGCATGCACAGACAATAAATTACCCGTAATGTCTCTCCCCATACATTACAATGGTCTAGCCAAATTTATTGACGAAAAAGGAACCGGGGACTTCAAGTGCTTTATTGGAATTGCGTTTCCATTACGAAGACGATGTCTGGGTGCACTTAATGTATGTACCTATGCAATAAGACTGCGTGATGCAATGACCTGAAGACTGGAGGAAAATAAACTGGGAAAGTCCAATGTATCTCCTTTGTATGATATGGGGCAGTTGACACCATATTTTTAAGGCTGAGTTGCACCATATTACCACATATTACTTAAACTTTGACAAACGTCAAAAATCTGTCAAACTCCATATAAAAGCAACGGTCATTGTTATTGTTACGGTTAAAATAAGGTGCAACTCAGCCTAAATAGTACAAATGTCAAAATGCGATTCTCCATAGTTTTTGTATAGTAGGTATTAGAAACCTCAAGCATCACTTTTTTACCAACTCTATTGTCCCTCAATATATCAAAAAAGTGATTGGGTAATCAGAATTTACCACTACAATGATTCACAAAAACTATAGTCGTATCTTTGAAATGTTTGACAAAAATATCGCGTATTTCCGAACGCCAACAAAACTTTCTTCTCAAACCTTTACCTCACTATAATCTGGACTTAAACGGTATTTCAGAGTACAAAAGTCCGAACGTTTTGGCAAAACTGTTGTTTCTTAAAGGTAGTTCGGAGACGTATCTATTTTAAACCGAATGCTTATACTTCCAAAGTTCCCAACTTTACAATGAAGATACGGTGGAACTGCGACTGCGACGGGGTTGTTATTCCAAAAGTTATTTTGTAAAAGTCAATAACACTATTCTTTAGGACATACGAGAAAACAACTTTGATATTATTCTGGAGGTGCATTCTGTGAGACGTAACTTAATAATAATGCATCCTCCCCTACGGATTGCAGCTATAAAATACTATGGTTTTACTCGCCATAACGCGACTTAGTAAACGTAGATGTTTTCAAGATGCCATGTTATAACGTAAAATTTTGTGAGTTGTAAATCTGGTGCGTACTATGATATAAACAACTGTTTTCTTCGGGTAGGTAGGAGGGACCGCTTCCTAGCTATAACACTGCCTAAATCGTAACAATAATATATAATTTTTTGTAGTAAATTGTATGAAACAATTAATTGCAATTAATGGAAAAAAAATTGGGCACTTGAAAATCAATATAAAGCCACCTATGTGTATCAAAAATATGTAAAAATTAGTTTTTTTCATATCTTGGTAATTTTTGTATTCTATAACTAAAAAGTTTAGATGGGCTAGATGGTAACAGTAACATACACGCACATTCCCCAGAATTTCAGAAGGAATAAAAAAATAAAAATTTGTTGTAGAGTGATTTTCAGGGAGGTGAAAAATCTTACATGAACTCTCTTGACTCACAAGTTCAGAGTCTTATCCCAGTACCTAATATTGTATTTTATTTTAGAAAACAAACAGTTGTATAATAAAATTGCAATTCAATTCTATAGTATTAATTTACCGTGTATTTCATCGATTTACTTAGGTTACTTAATACTCGTATATGTATGATACAATCATGTTCGAAAAAGATATGGGTTCATTTTATATTAAAAGTAGGTACTATCTATACTAATATTATAAAACTGAAGAGTTTGTTTGTTTGTGTCATTGTGTCCCAACTGGGACAATAATCCGAACTTAAGTACTTCTCTTACCACTAAGCGGGGCGGTTAAAACCAATTTTTCATTAGATTCTGCAATATGTAGCTAGTTAAATAGGCAACTATTATATCGACAAATTTTAAGCGATTTGGTCCTATCATTCATGAAAATAACTCATTCCCAACTGTTAAAAAGAATTTTGGAATTTTTTCGAATTTTTGAGTCCCAATAAGAATTGAATTAAAAGAAGGCCCATATATTTATGGATAAAAACCCAGAATCAATTGAAATCAAATGGGTATCAGTAGTTTAATTAAAATGTACATTTTTACCCCATCAGTGAAACTACTGTTACTCATTTATAAACAAAATTGAATCAAGGTTTTTTGGACCATCATCATCATCTTTTCACCTAAATTTCTACAAAATATAAGTCTCTAATAACACAAGCAAGTAGGTAGGTAATGTCTAAGCAGAAATTATTGAGTATTGATATTATAATACTTACCTGAATCCTTAAAATGACAAGGGATTTTTTTTTTATTTATCAATAAACTTTAAAAACTTCTTTAATTTTTAACTTTTTATCTTTATATCAAAAACATTACGTAAACTTTAATTGAGTTACTTCTCTCCTACCAATATTATGAAGTTTGTATTACCTAGTTAAAAATATTCTCCTACCAATATTATGAAATTCCACCGACCACCTTACTAGTGTCGACGTGAAAAGTATACTCTGTTACATATTTTAATATTAATTTTATTACGTGAATGAGCACTTCTAACGCGTTGCTATTAGAAATTAATCTTTAATACCCGCCTTCTGGCGCCCGTCGATACATATAGCAAAATTTGTGTAGATTGTCTGTACGTTGAAAAATATGATTCTAGAGCTAACGTTTAAGTGATTTATCAATCTTAAAAATAAAATACTATTTTGCAAAAGCCCATTATTTTTGTACTGGTTAATGAAATTGTCTTACTAGCATGTTTTCTAACAGAAACTTATTTTTAGTAATAAGTAGAAGTTGGCCGAAGGGTGTATTCGTAGCTAGCAAGAAAATTCTAGATTGGTCCAAACATTTTGTCACTGTAAGATGTGAAATTTACTTTTTAGCAGTTTCAAATTCATTTCCATTAGATTAGTGTTTTTAAGCATTTAATACAGTTCATTTGGACGACAAAATATTACATCGTATTTTTAAAAAACGGCAGTCTAAAATCTTTTCACTTTTACATTAAACATAAAAGTTTTAAAAAATTATAGTAGGTAGTGCGATGTGACCAATAATTTAAATTTTCACTTTAACGCAATCATAAATTGATTTAATGCAGCAAACTACTTCTTAAATTGGTTTATCAATAAATAAATAAGAATTCTAATACCGAGTTAAATTGATACATTATAAGGTTTATAAATAAATCAAAAATCATAAGCAATTTAAAATTGAATAAGTACGATTACGAATTAAATTACTTTTTGTCATCGAATAATAAATTTAATATTATGGTCCGAAATCAATCCGATTTTTCATAAAGAATTCAGTATTTGTTTAATCTCTATTGAATGTAATTTCTATTGCAAGCAGTGCCGCGAGTCCGAACAAGTGTGGCCTAAGTGGGCGCGCGTTAATACAAAGCGATCGCATTTGCCGACGCAATGAAATTGATGGACACTGATCACATTAAACTGAAACCGCGCTCAACATTGATTACTCTCGAAAAATTCCAACACATATAAATACAACGTCGCATTTCATTCTTTTATTCCCAACTAACAACTTTATCGAGGAAGTAGCGGAACTTTATCAAAGCATATTAACGAAGCGACGATAATCTCTCCCAGTTTTCTTGCCACTTCATTTTCCTCATACATGTAACGTGGACAAAATACCGTTATCCCTAAGCTTCAACTCATCTTCAAATAGAAATAAAAAATAAAAAGAAATAAAAAATAACCAACCAAAAATTCCGGAGCAAAATAATCCAAATGAAAATACGAGCACAAAATAAAAATACACTTCACAACAGAATCTTTCGGCACATCGAGATAGCACACAAAAATCTTAGCAAGCTCAACGTCTAAATGCACTTTACACAACACACAACTTTACCGTTTGCCGCCAACTGCAACTTTTCTGACAGTTTCGAAAAAAAATAAAAATGTTCGACGTTTAAAAATTCGTATTCGCGATTCGAGTTTCGCGGTCGCGTCGCACCTTCGCGCGTGGGTCCCGGACGAGTGGAATTCGGCTATTATGGGGAGGATGTGCGCATATAGCTGAGGCTTAGATGAGACTGTGGCGTGGTACCGGCGCGGCCCAACTGTATGGCCGGACTCGACTTTCGCCCCGACCGGTCGCCCTACAGCTCGGGCGACGAGTGACGCATCCAGGAACACATAATTCACTGTATTTAGCACTATGAGTAATTTTTCTGGATATTATTTAACAACCCTGTATACTTACGTGTTAATAATTTTTATGGTGTTTATTTTAGATTTTTTTTTTGTTGAATAATCGCGGCGATTAGTCTGAATGAGTTAGGGGTGGGAAATAGAGCGACAGCGGATGAATATGTGTGTGTATTCCATTGTGGTGCGTACGACATTGTTATTGCGATATTCAAATTCGCACTATCGGAAGTGCGTTGTCATTTTGAAAAATTGGCCCTATTCAATTGCAAATTGTGTACAGGTAAAAATAGTGGGTAACAGAATACTGTTTTTTTTTAATGCATAACAAGGCAGGTACAGTAGAACGCCGATTATCCGAATTAATTGGGACCGGGGTCGATTCGGATAATCGAAAATTCGGATAATCGGACATAGACTGGTAATAAAGAAAAAGCATGTTAAAAACGAACTGTCACACATAGAATAAACTTTAATAACTGTGTTTACAGTTCTACAAGTCGCTCAGTTGAAATATATCTAGACTCCTGCGAGTTCCAACTTGTTACACCAATAGAAAACAAAAAATACTTGGGTTTTAATTTTTTATATTAAGCTTAGGACCGATTCGGATAATTGGCGATTCGGTTAATCGGCGTTCGGATAATCGGCGTCCTACTGTATTTGACCACAATCGCACCTGATGTTAAGTGGGATGCAGTCTAGGATGGTACATATCTGCCCTGTAAGTGCTTATTCACTCTCGCCTTGAAGAGGCCCGGATTATAGTTTTCGGGAAAGACAGCAGCAGGCAACGAATTCCAGTCCCTAGCTGTTCGCATTATAAAAGAGTCATCGAAACGCTTAGTGCGAGCTGGTGGAATGTCAACAATATAGGGATGGTACGCTAACCTGCGACTGGTTCCCCGATGATGGAAGGAAGGTATGGTTTATATTGAACAAATTATTATCAACATTTTGAAAGGGGTTTTTATTTCATTGACAGCAACTGATTTTGCCGCGTGAATTTAAATAGCTAAGAAGTAAAGTTTCAAGAAGAACATTTGTAATTCCTAAATTTTGTTTAACTTCTAGTCATTACCTTATTATTGTTTTTCGAACTGAATTATTTATTAATGAACCAAGTAACTGTTACTCGCCATAAATTGATGGTACCTATCTACCTACCTCCTGAAAGTCAATTAATTAGGCAAATGTAGCTTAAGGAAAACTAATTAATTATTTGTGGAAATTAAATTTGATTCAAGCGAATCAATGTAAAGGAAAACTTTGGTACTTAATTCAGTAATTACTGTCAAATTGTGCTAATGATTAAAGGTTACAATTATGGTTAATTAAAATAGCTTTACAAATAAACCACATTTAGGTAACAAAATAAATAGGTGAGTAATTAATACTCACAGATGCCTACTTCCATACTAATAAAGTAAAAACAGGATCTAATGCCTGAATTTTGTGAATAATACTGTAGTAAATTTTATTTCATGTTAGTAGTATAGTAGTTCTTTTTATACAGGATTATGGGCCGTGCTAGTTCATTTTCAATAAAAATTTAGTAAATGTAACGGTCTGGTTGCTTGTTACACTAACTTACACTTACTTCTGAGTCGCTTTTGATAAATAAATTTCGAAGCATTCTAACCACCCTGTATGAATTCAAAACAAAATGCAGGACTCTAAGCGTTAACCCAGTTCGCAGCAAAGCCGGTATCTCCACTGAACAGGACGCAGGAAGAGTCAGGACAACGCTTACAGTCTGTTTACAACTGTGCTGTATTGTCGCTGAACAATGTACAGTACACCACATCCGACTGTGCAAGTTTGTTGCAAAATAACACCTATTACTATGTGAGATGCTATAATGTGTGTGCCGTCGACTGTACCTCAAACTTTGTATTCAGTGCAGTACACTTGCTGGCAATAAAAATGTTTGTTTTTATTTGCATTTTTTAAAAGCTTAGATTTTTTTAATAAAAAATACTTTTTATGCTCACTGAATGTAATGGATAGTTTGATGAAATTAATAAAAAAATAGGACCATAAAGTGTAGAGACAATAATTTTAAGTCGAGATTTTTAATTCTAAATTAACATACTTTTACTATAGGTCAACTCACAACGAAAAAATGTGCTAATACAAACTATGGCGCTTTCTATAATGTTATCTAAAATTGATAATAAGATTTTTATTTTTAAGTCATGTAGGATTTTATTCAAANAGGCAAATTTAGCTTAAGGAAAACTGATTCATTATTTGTGGAAATTAAATCTGATTCAAGCGAATCAATGAAAAGGAAAACTTTGGTACTTAATTCAGTAATTACTGTCAAATTGTGCTGATGATTAAAGGTTACAATTATGGTTAATTAAAATAACTAAACAAATAAACCACATTTAGGTAGAACAAAATAAATAGGTAGGTGAGTAATCCTAATACTCGCAGATGCCTCCTCACATACTTTAATATGGATCTAATGCTTGAATTACAAGCGGTATTCAACTATTTTTTTTTTTAATTTTACTGCATTTTATATTTTATTTCATGTTAGTATTATTGTTCTTTTTTGTGTGATGCCGTACTGTAATATGGGCTATGATAACTGATATTACCTAATATTAATAAATTTAAAAAAAATTGCATCGGTTTGTTTACTTGTTACGCTATTGCTCCTGAGTCACTGATAAATATTAGTCCTTATTACATTATTTTATTTAACAAAGCATTCTAACCACCCTGTATGAATTCAAAACAAAATGCAGGACTCTAAGCGTTAACCCAGTTCGCAGCAAAGCCGGTATCTCCACTGAACAGGACGCAGGAAGAGCCAGGACAACGCTTACAGTCTGTTTACAACTGTGCTGTATTGTCGCTGAACAATGTACAGTACACCACATCCGACTGTACCTACAAGTTTGTTGCAAAATAACACCTATGCAATGTAAGATGCTATAATGTGTGTGCCGTCGACTGTACCTCAAACTTTGTATTCAGTGCAGTAAACTTGCTGGCAATAAAAATGTTTGTTTTTATTTGCATTTTTTAAAAGCTTAGTTTTAAAAAAAAATGTTTTTTTTTGCTTACTGAATGTAATGGATAGTTTGATGAAATTAATAAAAAAATAGCACCATAAAGTGTAGAGTCAATAACTTTAAGTAGAGATTTTTAGTTCTAAATTAACATACTTTTACTATAGGTCAACTCACAACGAAAAAATTTTATTAAAANTATTCAAATAACCACCTAACTGATAGCGTACTTTCAATTCATTACACGACTTCACACATCCTACGTTACAATACCTCGGGTGTATACTAACCCAGTTAGAAAGGCAATATCGTAAGGACACAAGGAGCGCAGGAGTGGGACACGCTATGGCGTCGTTTACAACTCGGCGCCCGGATAGGCCGCACTTCAGCGCTGTTACCGTATAGAACAATAGTGTACCTACACTTCGGGACAAAGAAATAGAACACTAAAATGAGAACAGAAAAATAAAATTACGAGTAAAGCAACTAGGGTGTAAATAATAAGTATTTACTTTTTATAAACACAAGATTCCTTATGCTATATTAAAAAAAACTTACCTTGGCTTTCGCGAACAGTAATTATTTCCACCACTAAACACTTTAAAACACTTCACAAACTTCTCTCGAAACGTCCGTTCACGGCAAAGGTTGGATAGCGACTGACTGCCCGGTGCTCGAATTACAATTAAGTGAACGACCAAGTGAGTAATAGAACTTGAATGAGAAAGTGAATCGTACTTATAGTTTTTTTTATTAATATTAAAATTATTTATTAATTAAATACGAGAGAATTTTATTAATTTATCTTAACAACAAAACTGGACAAAAATCGCCAGAAGGTAGACGCAGTCTAGGATGGTTATCTGCCATGTAGAGTGCCTATTCAATATTCATTCTCGTATTTAACGAGAGAATTTTATTAATTTATCTTAACAACAAAACTGGACAAAAATCGCCAGAAGGTAGACGCAGTCTAGGATGGTTATCTGCCATGTAGAGTGCCTATTCAATATTCATTCTCGCCTTGAAAATGCCCAGATTATAATGTTCGGAAAAGACAGCAGCAGGCAGCAACTAAGTGAACTAGAATAAATATACGGTCACTCTTAAATATCTCTGCATTTTAAAATCGCATAAAAATATAAGAAAAAACCCATGGGGGCACTTTATTTGCACTTAGGTGTAGACATTGTGGCTTTATTCAGGTACTAATGAAGCTGTTACGACCGAGCAGGGTGTACCTCAGTATCATTCGTTTGAAGTAATTTTCACCCACAAATATCGTGCTTACAGCTTTAGGTATCGGTTCGATTTCTATCTGTGCTGGTAATAATATACTTATACATACGAGGATATTATACAATGCATAAATTAAAATAGTAGAATAATAGACAGATTTAAACTGTGGGAAGCCTGTGTTCAGCAGTAGACGTCCTGTAAATTTAGCTAAAATGATGAATGTTGATAATGATAATGCACTTTTCATAAAACTTGAAGTTTAAATATATTTTTTACCTAAAATAAAAACTCGACATCCAACCTAAGAAACAACTAGAATAAATATAGCGTTCGCTTTTAACATAATAGACATAAAGTGGCCTCACACCAACATTTGCTCCCACCAAAATCCGAAAAATCCGAAACCGTAACCATTGATTTCATTACAATCCAGTAGCGCAAACAATCATTTTGTTCTCTTTCAACACAATAACAATCACCCAATGACGTTACCATTGAAAGATTTAAACAAGTTACAGAAATTGTTCCAAACAACGTAAATGCGTCTAACTGTGACTTTTCACTTTTATCCTCACCTGCATAGCACCCAATTCAACAAGGTTTCCAAATACTTACAATGCTTGCTCCTTTGTTATAAAGGTAAGAATTGCAC